CCTCGCTTCATTTCCAGCGCATAATGGCCACCAAAATCTCCGGATACCAATCCATTATACTATTGTGTCGGGAGTATTTTGGAAAGCAAGGTTGGCACTAAAAAATACCAGGGTTTCGATCACCTCAAGCAATCGCTTCGCCGGGAATTGGACAAAATACCGCAAAGCAATATTCGGACAGCGTGTGACGGTTTCATTGCCCGTTTGAAGGTCATTATTCGTGCCAAAGGTAACCAATTCGAACAAATCTAAACTTATTCTAAAATTTGATGCTATTTCCGACATTTTTTGCCTTCAGTCAATAAAATTTAAAAAGAAAATGTAAAAATTATGGCGCTTTACTTGGTTGCGGTTTTTTTATCTCAACCTTAATATTCTTCATTTTAAGTCTAATTTCATGATCTACTGGATTTTCCCAGTAATTGTGATTGGTGCTTGAATTTTCTCATAAAATAGAGTGAAAAAAGTTCACTCCGATTATTGATTGTTTTCAATACTTTTTAAAATAATATCATGTTAATGTCATGTCAAATGTCGTTCTTTCAATCAACTCAAACTGACCACTCCTAATACTCCCATCGATTGCAAATTATTTTCCCATGGCAAAAAAAGCGACAACTCTATTGCATTTTTTTCCACGATTGGTGAAGAAAAAAATTAATAGCATTCAACTAACATAATTAACTGTAAACTAAAAAGTCAACCACCCAGCCATAAATTGCAATGATGCCACTAAATTGTATTTGGTGGTTCTACGAATTGTTTTTTCCTTGCCCCCACTCAACATTAATATTCCACTCAATTTTTGTTTTCAATTCAAAACCACAGACGCACACACACAAAAAACCAGAATACTTAATTTCTGTCAGTTACTGAAAACAAAACTACTTTCAAGTTTCCATAAAAAAAAAAAAAAACGAAAAAACACCAAACCTCTTGAACCCTCTGGGGACTAGTGAGACTTGACGGTCCACCATAATGGCAACATTTATTTAGCCATCAAGTGTGTTATTTATGTGAAGTGCAACAATGTTGCAAATGTTGTTAGCATTTTCATCCATCCATCCATCCAGCCATCTATTGCATTTTGAGTGGTGGTTATTCAAATAAAACAAAAACAAAAAATAAATTGCAATTTTTTTCCCATTGAAATCTTAACATTTATAAATGAATTTTAGTTTTTTTGTTGTTGGTTTTTAATTTTTTGTTTAAAATAATCAACGTCACTGTGACTAAGACAAACCGGAATATTTAAATTAGTGAATGTCGTAGGCGCTCTGAGAGTTATAATAAGCGATTTATTATTTATAATAACAGTGTCATGAGAATTACAAAACAAATTCCATTAAATTTTTGGGCAGAATTCTAATATTTAACAATTTTGCGTAATTTTGCCATAAAATGTACATAAGGCTTTCAAAACATTGTCTTTAAATCTTTGGGATGTCATTGATTACGGCCAGTTGTGTAGTCGCCTAAAAGTATGCTCAAGAATTTGTATTTCATAGAAAACATAGTTTTTAGCATTTCTTTTATCACTTCAAAATTGTAAATTTTCGTGTTAAAAACAAAGACTCAATAAATTTGAATTGAATTGGAGGAACTTCAAAGCAATTTTTGCGTTTAACTAACGAAGTGGTGGTAAATTTTACCCTCTCTTCATTTTTATTATTATATCCTCAACCGTTCTAGGGAGGATACATTAGCTTTGCCATAACTCCTCGAAATATTCATAATAGACTATACAAAGTATATATATATTCCGGATCAGCGTAAAATTCTAAGACGATCTAGCGATGTCCGTCTATATGTTTTAATCACGCTATCTTTCGGACGAACTGAGATAGAAGGCTAAAATTTTGCATACATGCATAGTTTACCAGTAGGCAGGTTAAGTTCGTAAATGGCCCATGTAGGACCACGTTTTCTCATAGCCCCCATATAACGGTACCTCCGGATATTCGGTACTTTGATGATTTCGGCGGCGTTATTTACCGAAATTATTTCAAATTTCATATTTAAAGATCGTAATGTGACAGAAAATTGTCTGTGCAGGTCCAGGTCTTCGCACAGCTCTCATATAATGGTATCTCCCGATATTCGGTATTTTGATCATTTTAGCGACATTATTTACCGGAACTATTTCAAATTTGGTATTTAGAGTTCGTAATGGATACTACTGCCTACGACAGAAAATTGTCTGTGCAGGTTCACGTCTTCGTAGAGCTCCCATATAACGATACCTGCCGATATTCGGTATTTTGATGATTTTAGCGAATTTATTCGCCGGAATTGTTTCAATTTTCGTATTGAAAGATCTTAATGGGTACTACAACTTATGGCAAAAAATTTCGTCTTCGTATAGCCCCCCATATGACGATACCTCCCGATACTGGTATTTTCAGGATTTTTGCGACATTATTCACCGTAATTGTAACAAATTTCGTATTTAAAGCTTGTAATGGGTACTACAGCCTATGAAAAAAAATCTCGTATGCGGGTCCATGTCTTCGCATAGTCCCCATATAACGGTTTTCATTTAAGTGGTAGTTTTCGGATTTTTTTAAAATTTTTCAAGATCTTTCCAAACGGTGAAGGGTATAAAATTCGGCCCGGCCGAACCTAGCTGCTTTTTTACTTGTTTTATTTAGATAGGCCCATAGTTACTCTCTGAGTCGATTTATGTATGTTAATCTGCCTGTCCGTCCATCTGTCCATGTATTTGGTGAACATTTATTATCCGATTGAGGTGAAATTTTGCAAACAATATTTGTTTAGCCCAAGGACAAATCCTATTGAAATTGATGAGAATCGGGTCAAATTTAGATATAGCCCCCATGTATATCTTCAACCGATTTTGGGTTAATTGTGCACCAACTGACCAATATTAGTCCAAATGACCTGAATTTTGGCACATCAGACCGTATAGAAGCAAGTACATAAAATTTGGTGAAAATCGGATCAGATATAGCTATTGCTCCCATATATATGTTTTATTTGGGATTTAAGTCCTTCACATGCGTAATATGCACTTCGCAACAATAATATTTAAAAAAAAATTAAAATTTTTTCGAGATCGGTACAGATTTGGATATATCTCCCATATATAACTTTATCCGATATATGATTTTTTGGGCATCAGAATTCCCAATACCCCGCTTTTTAGAACTCCTCCAATCCCAAACAAAATACATTTTTATAAGAAAACTTAAATTTATTTAAATTTCTAAGCATCACCTTTCCCAGATGTTGCACTCCATTCGTTCATTCAACTCATAAAATAGATGACATTTTAATATTTTAAACATTTCCAACACCCTCGCGGTGAGTGAGTGTGTGTGTGTCAGTGTTTGAATAAATTATAATCTTAATTATCACATTGCATGCGTTTTATTAATTAAATATTCTGATGAAATGCAAACTCTAATGCATAGACGACATTCATTAGCTTTTATATTTTTTTTTTTCTGTGTGGCGGAATGATTTTGTTACCGTTATTTAATAAATGGCCAGATAACATCTTTGGTTTTACAGTTAAACGCAATTGCATGTGACATTCTATTCCATGATGTATGACATGCTATTTCGAATAATTAAAAAAAAATAAATTTATAAAAAATTATTAATAATAAAAATTGTTATTATTGAATAAAAGGCAAGCTTATTTCAAGTACGGGAAGTGAAAAGCGTTATAAAATATTAAAACTAGATTGTGAAATTTTCTTTATTAACGGCATGCATACCTTTTCCTTTATTATGAACTAAATTCTGATAATTTATTTTAAAAATGGCGTTTTTTTTTTCTTAAAACAACAGTAAAAACATCTTCCGTTGGCTTCATTTTTCCTTAATTAACATTTATTCTCTTAAAGAAGAAACTGACGATTTTTGTCACACATTTTAGTTGGCAACACTGATGTGCAAAATGTCATGAGAAGTATAATATCCAGTAAGCAACAGGCTCGTCGTTTTTTAACAGCTATTTACTCATTATTATGGGCAAGCATACCTTCTTTATTACGGACTTTAATTCCGATCATTTTTATCGAAAAATGTGATTTTTCTTCAAATACCAAATCAACACCTTTTATTGGCGCCTTTTTTAAATGGTTTGCATTTAAAATCTCAATAAAATGAGAAACTGAGGTTCTTTTCAAGTATTCAATTTGGCAACACTGTCATATAAAGTGTCATGAAAATAATAATGTCCTTTACGCAGTCTTTTTGTAGTGGACATTTAGCTGATATTGCTTTCATAATTAACGGTAGACCTTCATTTCTTATGAAATTTATCTCAAAATAATCTTTTTTTTTTTTTTTTGTATACCAAAGTAATTTCTCTTATTGACGCCATTATTACTTACTTCGCCTTCACACTGTCCAAGAACAACAAAACTGACCATTTTTTCACACATTCCACTAGGCATCACTGTTTTTTGTTATTCCATTTTCTCTGTCATATTTACAAACCGTGATCCGTTGCACTCTCACACTGCCTCTCTCACTCCGTCGTGCTCTCTCAAAACAACTATCCGATTGATTGAACAACTGGAAAATACCAAAATACCAAGAACAAAAATACAATATAGAAAAAAACAAAAAGAAAAACAAACTGCTGATATTGATAAGAATGCCGGACGAGATAAACATTTTTGCTGCCACATATAAGAACAAAAAAACAATACAGAATCAGTAAATAAATGACTACGTGAGAGTTCGAGGCAAAGAAGTTCTTAGGCAGTTGGTTTCAGTTCAATTTCATTATTCTACGTAAATTGATATAGATAGACACGTCAGCTGTCAACCCAGCATGGAACAGAGAAATGATGCTATACATCGGCCAACACCACCATGTCCTGTGCATCATATTCACATACCTCCGGGGACACCGGGACCAATTTTAATAAGAGTAATTCTCTTTTAATGGCGATATTCTATTAATTAACAAAACAACCCATTACCAATTAAAATATTAACTTGTTTTCGTTTTCTTCTTCCAGATTGCTAATGGCACAACCCATTATTATGCCCCCATGCCAAATGGCTTTCAACCTGGCAGCGGAGCGGCGGCGCCTTATCCTGTTAATCCGCATGGTCATATGACGGCGCCACCGCCACCACATCAACCTGCTACACCCCAACCTCCTCCGCCGCATCAACAACAAATGACCAATATAACAAATAATACAGCGCCACAACAACAGCACTCACCAGTTTCACATTCCGCCAATCACTCGCCATCACCACCTAATAATAACAATAATTATCACAAAGATGAAAGGACACAAAGACAACATTCGAAATTGCTAAAGAAATTGGACAAACAACGAGGGGAGTACAGTAAGTAACCTCATTAGGACAAAATCTATTTGTCGTCCCATTCATTGAATAAATTTCCATTATTACAGATTCAGCTGTTTCTTCGCCCAATCATTCGCCATCACCCAGACGCCAGGAGCCACAAATAAATGGTCACAACAATGGACGGTCACAACATGCCAACAACAATCATCAGCAGCAGCAGCAACCACATCAACGTAAATCCCATCAACAGCGTAATGGCAATTTTCCTTATAACAGTAATAACAACAACAGCAACCAAGGTGCCTCCTCTTCCAATGCCTCGTCCGAAGAAGGCGAAGACCTAACAGCAAATGGCTTGTCCCCCGACCATGAAGAGGAAGACTGTCAAGCCTCAATTGTGAAACAATTATCGGACATTCAAAAACCCGAAGTAAACGAAATTACACCCCGATCCGCCAAAATCATGTGGGATATACCACAAAGCATCAATGAATCGGCCTCCCATCTCATCAATTTGGAAGAGTTACGCTATAGAGTCCTCCTAAGTGAAGGTACAAAAGAATTTAAAAGTTTCTACGAAGGTTCCTCATTCGATTGTGTCATACACGATCTGAAGCCGGGTCAGGAATACAGGGTGCAGGTGCAGGTACACTATGAACATTTACAGGGTGATCCCTCAGAACCCCTGAAATTTTCCACACCAGCCTGTGAACCGGAAAGACCCATGGCACCGAGAGTGGTAACGGTTAACAAGAACTCCTTGCATCTGCGTTGGAATAACACCCTGTGCAATGGTTCACCAATTCAGCATTATCTGCTGGAATATGATGAGGGTCGAACCGGACCCCTGACTGCTGAAAAATCCATTAATTTTGTAGAGGCTGTGAAAACCAAGGGTCGGCAATACATTGTAACCAAGTTGCAACCCTCCACACTGTACCACTTCCGCCTGGCGGCCGTTAACGAAATTGGACCCTCTCAATATTCACCCATATGTTCATATAGTACCCAAGGTAATCCTCCAGCAGCCCCCAAACCACCCACCCTACAATCGTTCAGCTCTTCCTCGCTGCGTTTACTTTGGGAGAAACGCCAAACGGATGGTGCCACATGCATTTACATTCTACAAATGTTGGATCGTGAATCGGGCCATGGTTATTTGAATGTCTACAATGGACCCGATTGTTCGTATGAATGTTGTAAACTAAGAAGGGCCACCCTGTATAACTTTCGTCTGAAGGCCGAAAATGAATCGGGGGCCTCAGCATGGTCTCCAGAAGTTTCCTACAAAACGGCACCCGAAAGACCCGGACGACCGGGTAAACCATATGCCAAGGGTAAAATTCATGGCACTCATTTTCGTGTACGCTGGGAACCACCCTCCGACAATGGGGGCGCAGAAGTCCTGCGTTATTATCTCGAAATTAACCCGGGTGGCCAGAAATTCGAGAGAATTTACTCTGGTGCTGAGTGTGAGACAAACTGTGATCGCTTGCAGCCCGGCACCACCTATCAACTGAGAGCTTCCTGCGAGGGTCCCGGTGGATTTAGTCCCTATTCGGAGATTAGTCACATAACCTCTGAAGCTGTAGTACCTGCTGCTCCGCCTGCACCCTATTACGATACTGCGCCAGGACCTTTTGCTGCCGTCATACGACTGGAGAAGCCTGATTACAATGGCGGAGCCCCCATACTAGAGTACGAAGTACAAATTCGCCGGCCAGGTGACCAAGAGCCACCCACCTTGGCTTATAGGGGCAAGGATGACTATTGTGTGGTGAATGCCCTGCAACCGGGTTGCCAATATGAAGTGCAAGTGAGGGCGGTGAATCGCATAGGGGCCGGAGCCTGGTCACCTTGGTTTGAGTTCTCCTCGTCGGCAGCCCCACCCAATAATCCTGAAAATCTTAAGGTCATTATAAAGTCAGCCACTCAACTGCATGTCACCTGGCAGGAACCGGCTAATAAAGGCGGAGCTGCCATATCGGAATATCGATTAGAGAGTGCCACGGGTAATGCCAGTTCTACAAAGGAAGAAGCCATCCCCGAACCCCCGCCAGCATCAGCATTCCATATCTGTTACCAGGGTCTGCAATGCAGTACAGATTTGAGGAATTTGCTGCCCTTTACAAGATACTACTTCCGTGTAAATGCCTGCAATGTGGCTGGCATGAGCAAATGGTCACCGATTATCAATTGCCAAACACCGGCAGCAGCCCCTTCACCGCCACAAATCAAAGACTTTGAATTCACCTCAAATGAAGCCACTTTACGTTGGTCCGCCCCCGAAAGCAATGGTTCACCGATCATTAACTATACCATTGAATACAACAGTGCCCCCTCAAATGTAACCACCATAACTACACCGGACGAGAAAACCGAATACACGGTTAGTAATTTGCAGCCGGAAACCTCATACAAATTCAAAGTACAGGCCATTAATGCCATTGGTTCGGGTCCCTTCTCGGCCTATGCCAAATTAACTACGCTCCCCTCACCACCTGCCCCACCGAAACTGGAATGTTCTGGTGTGGGTCATAATTTCATTAAACTCAAATGGGGAGATGGCAAAAATCTGGATTTCACCAAATTCTATGTGGAAATGTATGTCCAAAGGGCCAAGGAATTCCAGGTTGTCTACACGGGCACAAACTGTATGTGTAAGGTGAATAAGCTGCAAGAACGGACATGTTATACCTTTCGCATCTGTGCGGGCAATGATCGTGCCGGAGTTGGTGAATACTCGGATGAATATGTTTTCACCACAACACCCTGTTTCCCGAGTAGCATTAAGGCTCCTCGAATTGCTCAAAATCTCAATGCTGCAACGCTGGGAGGAAATACAACAGGTGCTGTGGCCACAGTGAATACCAACACAACAAGCACAACGGCGGCGACCACCGCCTCTAATGCCAATGTCATACCCTCAGGTCTGATACCCGAAACACCAAGTTATCCAACCGGTTTGGGTAATCTAATGTTGGGTGTACCCCTCACCCTGGAGTGGCAACACTCGAAGAACTCCTTCAGCGATCGTGTGGAATATATGCTGCAATATGCCATTGGTAAAGATGGTAATTTTAAAATGGTAAGCATGGTCTTTTGTTTTTCTTTATTATGTGGTATCTAATATCCTCCTGCTCCTTTTGTCCATTCACAGATCTACCGTGGTAGTGAGACCAAATTTACAATTGAAAACCTTGAACCGGCTGGCCTTTATCAATTCCGTGTCTGTCCCATACGTGTCACAAGTACTGGCGAAGATTTATTCGGTGCATTTACATCACCATTCCGTTATGTTGTGCCTCTGATTCCACCGCTGGAGGAGATAGATGATAATCTGTTGACCAATGCAGCGGCAACAATGATTGCTAGTCTAAATGCGGCCGGTGCAAATACAGAGGGTGGAGCCACATGTCATGGCCATTCGCATAATCATCATTCCCATTTGCACCATCATCATGCCGTGCATTCGCATCACAATAGCCGGCATCACAGTGATAATAGTTTAGCAACAGCATCCTCAACGGGTCTTCATCATCGTTCCGTTTCGGCCAACAGCAGCAGCAGCAGTGGCAATAAACATCATAGTTCCGCAAATAATGGAAGTGGTAACTCTGCCACAACAGGCAATAATACCTTACTTATAAACACCAATGCCATGGGTTTCATACCGCTTGGTAATGTCTCCAACGACTTGACAGCTGGCAATTTTGGTGGTTGTGATGATCCCAATCATAATCATCATCACCACCATCATCATCATCCACATGCCTTCCATGACAACAACAATGGCATTGCCAGTACACACCACCATCATAACGGTGCTGGTGCATCCGGTTCCCAGGCATCGAGTAATACGGCCACTCTATTGGCCGCCAGTGCCGCCAATCAATTGTTTGCCAATAATCCCATTCTCTTGCAAGCAGCCACAGCAGCCATAAGTCATCATCAGCACATATTGGATAATCAGCGACACCAGCAACAACATCATGGCAGTGTCATTCGGCGTTTCATCCATCGTCTCAGTTCGGTGTATACGAATCGTAAACGTTTCACCGATCAGGAGAAGGCCGTTATTTTTATGTTATCCTTTTTATTCTTTACATTCGTATTTGCCACTTTTGTCAAGATGTTTATGCGTTAGGCGAGGCGAAGCTGCTGCTGCTGTTTATTCAACACCTGGGTTATATGTTGTCTGATATTTCACCATCATCGCCATGAACGTACTCTCACATCAGGTGGCTGCAAGGTGAAATATCATATGGACACCAAAAAATTCCGGGAGAAGATATAATCTAGGAGGCAACACCCCATGGAATGCCGCTCTAAGATTTCTTTTCACCGATGACAAATAAATTATCAACATGTTGGGATTATATACTTAAGCAGTTTTGCTCTCTATCGCTCGCTCAGCTATGGTTTCAAAAGCATTCCGTTTTGTGTGTGTGAGTGTGCTGAAAGCGGTCTTTAAGCAGAGATTTATCTCGAATTACCTTTAATCTTTGAAATAAGAAAAAGACGCGGGATCAGAGAAATTTTAAAATGTAAGTATTTCATCTATATATTTATCTATATAAACGAGTAAAATAGTATCAGTCGGTTTTGGCGACAGATGCATACTCCAAGCCTCTAGTTATGATTATTCAAATTGTTCCGAAGCAGTTGGTCATTTCGTATCTGACCTAAGACTGATATAAATATTGCAACGTGCCGTATTTGGACTATATCGTCTACTTCCTATACTTTATATGAGATATGTGCAATTTTTTGGAAGATGTGGAAAATCGCGCCAGGTAACAGATATAGCGGGCCGAAGTATTCATCTAATGAAGATAAAAATATTGATACGCGCAAAATTTAATGGGAATCCAACATTTAAATACAATTTTATACGAAATCACAAATTCCGATTAATTACATATTTATATCAGATTTCTGGCCTAGGGAAGGCAGGTTGTATACAATCGCCTACTCGTTTCGCAATTATGACAGATATAAGTATTGGAAATTGTGACCCTTTGTGGTTGAGGTACCAGAACTGGTTGGCAAATATCTATCATCTTCACAAAAGATTTTCCCATTTTGTTTTTCAAAATTTTGAACCCTTTATGAGGGAAGTGCCAGAAAGAGAGTGTCGATATATCCCATCTTCACAGCAGATCTCGTGTTAGTAAAAATAATGGAATTTGTGAAATTTGAAGAGAACTGAATGCTTATTTCGGATTTTATGATCGTTTTGGTTATTCAAAATGTTGACTCTTTGTAGGGGAGGCACCAGAAGGAATGCTCCAATCTCTACCATCTTTATAACAGATCTTGTTTTGATGAAAATATTGAAATGTGCAAATCTGAATGGAATTGGATGTTAATTTTGTGTTTTACGAGTTACATAAATATTCAAAATTTTGACCCTTTGTGGAGAAGGTACCAGAAGGAGTCGACCTATATATTCCATCTTCACAGCAAACCCTGAGTTAATAAAGATATTGTGATGTATGTAATTTGAAGACAATCGGACTCTTACATCACATTTTATAAGAGTTATAATTATTCAACATTTCGAACCTTTGTGGGGGGGGAGGTACCCGAAGAAGAAGACCGATATTATCCATTTTCGCACTTGACCTAGAACTAATCCAAATATTATGATTTGCAAAGTTGTAGCAAAATCTAATTATCCTTTCTCTGTCTGTGCAATAAAATATTTTCTTTGAAAATGTTGTAATTTTGTGGAAGAAGTACCAGAAGGAGTGGACCGATATTGCCCATCTCCGAACTCGATCTAAGTTTGACAATAATATTAAGATGTACCTAGGGACTAAAACCGTTATTTCGATGAGGCACGTTCTGTAGCCATATGGCTGAGGGTATAGAATTTTGTCGTGATATTGCGAAAAAAAGATATACAAAATTTAAACTTCCAAAAATGGTCGAACTTATATACTTACAATATATATACAGGGTGAGATAAAAAACTACAACAAAGTCAAACGCCATAACTTTTACATTTTTTTTAAATTTTATTGAATGACAGCAAAAAATATGGGAAGTAGCATCAAATTTTAAAATAAGTTTAGATTTGTTCGAATTGGTCACCTTTGACACGAATTATGGCCTTCAAACGGCCAATGCTCTGCTGTATTTTGGCCTATTCCCGGCGAAGCGCTTGCTTGAGGTGATCGAAAATTTGGTATTTTTTAGTGCCAACCTTGCTTTCCAAAATACTCCAGACACAATAGTCCAACGGATTGGTATCTGGAGATTTTGGTGGCTATTGTGCGCTGGAAATGAAGCGAGGAACCTCATTTTGTAACCATTCTTGGGTGGCGGTGGCGTGCTGAGTGCGATAGTGCTGAGTCCTATTGAAATGTCCAAGGTCTGCAGCCAATATGTTTGCGTGCCCAAGGCTTTAATACTCCCTCCAGAATATTTTCGCGATAATATTCGGCATTTATTTTGATGCCATGGTAGATTAATACGAGCGGAGAGCCGGCAATTGAGTTCTGGTGGCCAAACGAAGGTGCACATTTTCATCTGACCTCTTTGGCAAGTTAACACGATCATTTTGTTTGTTTACAAACTGCAGGACAACGAATGTTTTCTCAGCGGAGAAAACCAAATTCGTCAGTTCACCACTTTCGCCCAAGCGAAGCAACTCTTTAGATCTTTTGAGTCTATTTTCTTTCTGTTGCTATGTAAGTTCTTGCACTTTTTGGAATCTCAATGGCTTTTCCCCGAACTCATTTTTCAATATTTGCCGAATGGAATATTGCGATATGTTCAACTCACGAGTCATTTTTCGGCCACTGCGACGCGGGTTTCGATCAAGTCGCTTCTTTACTTTTCGAACCATTTCTGCTGATGTTGCTGTTTTCTTCGGTCCACTTCCTTGACGTCGGGCTACGCTACCAGTATCACCGTAACAAAACACAAGAGATTTATTCACATTTAAATGCTGGAGTGCTCTAACGATAGCCACTTGTGGATTTCCTGCTAAAAATATAGAGATATCACACTATCACGCATGAATTCCGTTACGAATAACTTTTTTTCTGGAAAATTCTCACCAAAATGCTTTTGTACGCTTGTAAACAATATAATGAGTTGTTACTGGATAATTTTAACGTGTGGCTTAGAAATTACAGCAGTCTGAAGTTGATTGCAGTTTTTTCATCTCACCCTGTATATAGTATTTTATCCATCACTTCTCGAAAACTTGACATGAGGCCAAATCGGTTATCTCAAAATCCATACTACTAAAGAAGTTCCATAATATGTTCAAAATATAAAAAAAAAAATAATTCAAACTTTTTTACAATTATTTTTTTTACAGTTCAATTCCGATTTTGGATGATGACGTCACCAATTTTGAAAAATACATGTCTCAAAGAAAAATTAACAAATTATTAGCCGCCGGCAAAACTCACCCCAATGGATGTTTGAAGACCCACAACCTCCCTCACTTCGCCCTCCCAACATAGTAAATCAAGCCCATATGTCTCAAAACAACAAAAGTCTATAGAGAATATAATACAATGATGATTTTATTTATAGTTATTATGAACACACACACACACACACACACAGACAGGCAACCAGACTTGTCTATAAAAACACTAAAACAACAACAAAATTTTTAATTAATTCAAATATATTTTTTCTAAATAAAATATATTATTGAAATTTATAGATATATGAAAAATTGAAATAGTTATATTATGCATAGCGAATAAGTACGAAACGAAATATATATATACATGCAAACATATATATAATATACAAAAATAAATAAAAAAAACATCTAAGTGTTTCTATGTAAATGTGTAAAATTTAACAAAATAAAAACTTTAGCTTAAATAAAAAATGAAAAATGAAATAATGCATTTCCATAAACAAATATCGAAGAAAGAAAAACCCCCAAAACAAGATTATGTAAAAAATGTGTACGAAACTCTAAAACATAAAAATAATGTACTAAAAATTGTATAAATATTTAGAAAATTAATTCTAAAAAAAATGTAAACATATTATATTACTATATATATATATTATCAATTATGAAATTTATATAAATATCAATATATTGTTTTTTTGATTTTTTTGCAATTCCATATTTATCTAGCAACATATTCCAATGCGTATCTACATGTATTTTTTTTACAACAATATTTAGCTGCATTTTAACTAATTATTTTGTGTGTTTCTCAAACATACTTTTTAGCTAAACTATATATCTATCTGTCCATGATAACCATGCAATTAGTAAACCGATTTCTTATTTTTTTTTTCTTCGTCGCTCTCAACTGAACATAAGAAATAAAAAAACAATTCCTATCTACATTATAAGTGTAAAATCTATCGAAATCATATATCGAAATGTATAAACAAAAAAAGTGCTTTTCTTTAGTAAAAATTTGTAAAAAAAAAAACAAAAACTAAACGGATTAAAATAAATATTTTTTACGCCTACGAAAGTAAAAAAAATATATCGAAACAAAAACAAAACTCAATGAAAGTGATATAATTTTGATAACGCAATGTAAACACAATATATATACATATATGTATTCCTTTTCTCTTACTTATTTTAATGTCTATATAGATTTATGATTTTTTTTCCTATACATTCTCACAATTTGAGGTTATGAATGGAAAATGTGGTTTTTTCACATATAAGATGATTTGAAAGGAGAAAAATTTTGGATAATTGAAGAAGACAAGTAGGTCTTCTTTTTTGGAAGACAAATAAGTCTTCTTTTAGAAAATAAATTGGTCTTCGAATAGAAGATAAGTTGGTCTAATATGTCTTCTATTCGAAAACCTATTTGTCTTCTATTCGAAGACCCATTTGTCTTCTATTCGAAGACTAATTTGTCTTCCAAAAAGAAGACCTATTTGTCTTCTATTCGAAGACCAATTTGTCTTCTATTCGAAGGCCAATTTGTCTTCTATTCGAAGACCCATTTGTCTTCCATTCGAAGAGCAATTTGTCTTCTATTCAAAGAAGTGGCTGTCTAGTAAAAGATACTAGACAGCCACCTACTAGGAAACCAATTTATCTCCTATTCCAAGACCAATTCGTCTTCTATTCGAAGATCAATTTGTCTTCGATTCGAAGAGCAATTTTTCTTCCATTCGAAGACCAATTTGTCTTCCATTCGAAGACTAATATGTCTTCTATTCGAAGACTAATTTGTCTTCTATTCAAAGACTATATTGTCTTCTATTCGAAGACCTATTTGTCTTCTAAAAGAAGACTTATTTGTCTTCCAAAAAAGAAGACCTATTTGTATTCTATTCGAAGACTTTTTTGTCTTCCAAAAAAGAAGACCAATTTGTTTTGTATTCGAAGACAAATTAGACTTCCATTCGAAGACCAATTTGTCTTCTATTCGAAGACCCATTTGTCTTCCATTCGAAGACCAATTTGTCTTCTATTCGAGGACCAATTTATCTTCTAAAAGAAGACATATTTGTATTCCAAAAAAGAAGACCTATTTGTCTTCTATTCGAAGAGCAATTTGTCTTCCATTCGAAGAGCAATTCGTCTTCTATTCGAAGACCAATTTGTCTTTCCTTCCAAGACCAATTCGTTTTCTACCAGAAATCAATTTTTATACCCTCCACCATTTTACGGACTGCCTAGTTTGTAATTCCCCGAAATATTCGTGATAGATCCTACAAAGTATACATATTCTGGATCAGCGTAATATTCTAAGACAGTTAAGCTATGTCCGTTTGTCCGTCGTTATCACGCTATCTTTCGAACGAATTGAGAATGCACACATGTGAATTTTGCCAGCAGGTAGGTTGAGTTCGTAAATGGGCTATGTCGGTCCACGTTTTCGTATAGCCTCCATATGACGGAACATCTCGATATTCGGTATTTTGATGATTTCCGCTACATAATTCACCCGAATCGTTCCAAATTTTGTATTCGATGTTTGTAACAGGTACTGTAGTCTATGTCTAAAATTTTCGTATGTAGGTCCACGTCTTCGTATAGCCCCCATATAACGGTACCTGTCGATATTCGGTCTTTTGATGATTTTAGCGATATTATTCGCCGGAATTTTTTAAAATTTCGTATTCGAAGTTTGTAACGGATAATGCAGCCTATGTCTAAAAATTTCGTATGCCGGTACACGTTTTCGCATAGCGCCCATATAACGGTACTTGCCAATATTTGGTCTTTTGATGATTTTAGGGACATTATTCGCCGGAATTGTTCCAAATTTTGTATTTGAAGGTTGTAACGGGTACTGCAGCCTATGCCTAAAAATTTCGTATGCAGGTCTACGTCTTCGTATAGCCCCCATATAACGGTACCTCCCGATATTCCGTATTTTGATGATTTTCGAGACATCATTCACCCGAATTGTTTCAAAATTTTCGTATTTGAAGATCTTAATGGGTACTACAGCCTATGACAAAAATTACTTATGCAGGTCTATGTCTTCGTATGGCAACCGTATAAAGGTTATCATTTAAACAATATTTTTCGGAATTTTTTGAAATTGTTTAAGTTTCTTCAAAATGGTGAAGGGTATTAAAAGTTCGGCCCGGCCCGGAACTTAGCTGTTTTTTAATTGTTTTTCCTTACCAGACTTATTTTGTCTCCTGATTTTTCTTTCTATTCAAAAACCTTTTCATCTCATCCCTTTAAAATAAATCTCGTTTTCCGTTCATAACCTCAAATGTATTTTTTGTTAGAAACATTTCGTCAGTAGCTCTGTGTTATTTATCTCCAACTTCCATAACATCAGCAGCGTTTTCAAACTGCTAGTGTTTAAGATTTTTTTTAATGATATTTCTCTTTTTTACTTTAGCTAAACAAAATGCTTCCTTAAATAGCTTAAAAATAGATTTTTTAATGCACTATTATTTTTTTTTAATTCAAACATACTCTATTATTTTATATGAATTTCATTTAAACGATTTATATTTTTAATGATATGGTAAATGGTCATAAATTAAAGCAAAAAAACATATGAATTTATATATTTTTTATGAAATATTTTTCGGTTTAATTTTTTTATATATTTTTTTGTAATATTTTCAGAGCATTTTGAGGTTAAACTAAGATTTTTTTAAAATTTATTTTTTGATTTTTTTTACTATTTTTTTTTTTTTTGATTTTTTTTACTATTTTTTTTTTTAATTCTTTCACCTAAAATTTGTAAAATTTTGAGCTTATGATTTTTTAAATTTATTTTTTGTTTTTTTTTACTAATATTTTTTTTAATTTTTTCACCTAAAATTTGTAAAATTTTTAATTGAAAGGAAATCTAAACCATGGGTCAGTCACATATTGTAGCTTCTTTTTATATCCAAACCTAGAACTCGTGCTCAACTCTTGTTGTAGGACATGAAATTTTTATAATGGGTAAAATTTAAGGCATAAAATTCCAATCCCTCTATATTTTAAAAAATTGTGTTTATCCAACGTTTTACATTAGACCCCCCCATGGCTTTGAAAAATTTAATTTTTTTATGAACTGATCTAATCTTTAAATTTTCTTACTGATTTAAAAATGCAAGTCTTTATATTGATATTTGTCAATTTTTTTTTTTTTATATAATATTTTTTTAATATTTTGTATATTATTATGTGTTTTTTTATAATTTACATCATATAAATATTTTTTAATTAAAAAATTTTAATTTTTAAATGTGAAATTAATATTTTTTTCTTTATAGAATATCTTTGTGCAAAAATATTTTTTATACAAAACAAAAACGATCTATATATAAAAAAAACTAACAAAAAATCAAAATTACTTATAAAAAAAAAACATTTATGTAGAAATTTAAATAAAGTAGATTTGTTTTTTTTAATGTTTTAGAAATGAAGTGCAACTGAAAACAAGTGTTATAAAATTATATAAACAAAAAGAAACCCCTTTACAAAAACAAAAAAAGCTAGATGGCTTTAAAAACAAAAAAGAGCATTGTTTCATTTGTATTTGAACTTTGTTGGAAAATAATGTTAAAAATTAAAATAAAAAAACAACTATATAAAAATTATTAATTATGACTTTATTATGTTTGCTTCGAATGCAAAAACTTGTGTATAAAAATAAAACATAGGAAAATAAAAATTAAATTTATATAAATATTTGAAATTATAAATTAATTATAATAATATAAATTTAAAAACAAAAAACCCAATTGAACTTATGTGCATTATTTAGTGTGGTATGCGGTGTAAAATACAATTATAACTAATATACATAGAACATATACATATATAAATAAAATAAAACTAAAAAAAAACATATTAAATAAATTTATAAACCTACTACAAAAAAATGAACAGAAACCCAATTTAGCAACAACATGAAACATAACAAAATCAAGATAATTATAAAAAAATACAAATCATACATTTTGTTCTTTATACAAAACACACAACATATATATACATATATAAAAATATATATAAAAGAAATAAATTTATATATATATTTTTGTTTTTTTTTTTTAATATAAATATATTATTAAATTTTTACAGTTTTTTTTAATATTTTTGTTTTTTTTTTTTTCTATTTTTTATGTTGTATTTTACTCTCATCCAATATATATATATATATACATACTTATACATATATATATATATAATAAAACAATTGCATATGTGAATTATATATATAAATACATTAAAAAAAAAACAACAACACAACAACCAACATTTAAAAACATTCTGAAAAATTATTAAGAAAATCAACAATTATACAGATAAATATATATATAAATAAAATAATAATAATAATAAAAGAATTATATATACATATACATATGACCGAATATATATAAATGATAAATAAAAATCATTATGGTAATATACAAAAAAAAAACGATTGTATTTAATTTCAATGGTTACAATTTGCATTAAGGGTAAGTTTAAGACGGCATCTAACGTATTTAGCAAAAAAAAATCTCTCATGAGAGAAAAAAATATGAATGACATAGAAAACATGCATACGCCTCAAAGTATGCTTTGAATTTCTGATGAAAGTTGTTAAAAATGTTGCCGGATCCCAAACAAAAATTATTTTTAACAACGAGACGCCTATTTCGCCATTCTGGTTGCCTGGTATTTTGGGAAATTGAGCAAAACGCGGTTTTCGGTTGAGTGTGACGTCATCAGCGAATTGAAGTAAAAACTCACCTTCTAGTGGGTGTTTTAAATAAATATTAAGTTCTAATAATTTTTACACCCTTCACCATGGTATGGAGGGTATATTAAGTTTGTCAATCCTTTTGTAACACCGCGAAATATACATTTTAGACCCCACAAAGTATATATATTCTTGATCACCTTAAAATTCTAAGAGGATTTAGCAATGTCCGTACGTCTGTCTGTCTATGGAAATCGCTCTAACTTCCGAACGTAATGAAGTAGGTTGATAATATTTTACTCAAATGTATATTATGTCTTCAGGATTTTTCGAATTGAAAATGGGCCATGTATGTCCACGTTT